AAATAAATAAATAAATACAATCTTAAAAAAAAAAAGCATATAAAGACCCCACTCAGAATTTAGCTAGAAACCGTCTAAAACGCACAAGTATTTTATCATGTTTCAGGAAATGCTAACCCTGTCATTTCCCAGACGGAGATGAAGCTCAGAAAGACTGCTCACTCCCATTAAGGATGCACAGCAAAGCCATGACATAACGGGGACTACTAACCCAGGACACCCCATTCTTGACAATGATAAAGACAGATAATAACAGCTAAGGTTTACTGATTTATTCCACATCGCAGACCCTGTTCTAAGCACTTTTATGGGTATTAATTCATTACATTTTCAAGAACCCTAAGAGGAAAGTACCATTATCCTATTTGACAAACTGAGTCACAGAGCGGTTTGGAGACCTGTCCAAGGTCCTGATGATGACAGAGGGACAATCTCGGCTCTCATCCTTTTTCTCCAGCCTATGCATGTTTCCACCCAAGAATAACTGAACAGAAAGGGGCCCTGGGCTGGGCACTGGGGGCTGGGAACCATACCTGCTTTGGGCTGGTGGGGAGAGGGGAGAAAGGAGGGGCTGCTGGGTGTGATCACATTCGGGCAGCAAGGGGAGCCCTGGCAACAGGGCTGGAGTCCCTCCCTCAGGAACACTTCCCACATTGCCTCTGCTCCACCCCAACTTTCCTGAGTGAGAACCTTGGGCATGTCACCCCCTTGGGAAGACCTGCAAACACAGGGCAAAGGACAGTCATGGACCAAACCTCCGACCATTGTCAGCCCCAGAGGGTAGGGGAGTGACATCCTGAATCAGAGGCACCTTCGGAAGCCACTCTATCCAGAGCTTTGTGTGGGGTTAGTTTTTTAAGCTGTGAACACTTTTATTATTGTTATTATTACTATCTATTTAAAATAAGATCTTAAACTGGAAAGCCATCTAAGACAGTGGAAAAAAGAAGCTGCTCTGTGCTCTCAATGAAATCAGGTGGGAGGAGGGGGGCCACCTCTGAAGAATCCCCCAGGACACACTTAGAAAACCACTGGTTGAGTCAACTGGATTTATCAGGCAACTGAGGCCCAGAGAGGGGAAGGGATGAGCCCAGCATCACACATCAGGTTCTTGGGAATCTCCCAGATGCCAAAGCATCTTTCCATGGGAAAGTCCTCTTGGCTCTACCTCCACAATAAACCCTGAATCCATGCATGCCTCTTGGAACCCCCTGCCAGTGTCTGCTCTGCACCACCATCGCCAATTGCTCGATTGCTCGGACAGTTGCAGTAGCTCCTCACTGCTTTTCCTGGCTGCCATTCTGGCTTCCTTCAACTCACTTCCCACAAGGCAGCCACCAAGGTCTTGTTAACATGAAAATCAGCTCTCATTATTTCTCTGCTTGAAATCCCGAAATCCCAGTGGACTTCGGGTAAAATCCAAACTCCTTGCCCCAGGTGACAAGGCACTGCTTGACTTCCTCCCCCCACCTCCCCTCCCCCACCCCAGCAGGCTCAAGACCCATGACCTTCTTTTCAGCCTCAAAACCTTTGCTCTTTCTCAGATCTTCTTAGGACTCAGCTCCCTCACCTCTTTCACTTCCCCGCAGAGTCCCGCCCACCCACCCCCAGGGCTGTCTCCTCACATCACCTTGTATCTTGTTCCCATCTATCTGTCTGTCTGTCTGAAATGGACATTCCAGGAAGGCAGTAACCTTGTGTTGACTGCTGTCTCCCAGCACCCAGGAGAGGCCCAGCATATAGTAGACACTCAATAAATGACTGTGGGTTGAAGGAACAGGCATTGGTCAGCCCATCCTGCAATGCAGGCTCTCTCTCCCCCTGAGGCAGCTACAAGTTCAAAGAAGTCCCTGCAGGGTCCCACGGAAAGAGGTTGGAAGGAAAAAAAATGAAAAGGGCAGGATCTATCCGCTACATAATTGACTCTGAAAGGTCAGGGCTGAGTCCCTGCTTAGTAAGCCCTACCCCCTGTGGGGTCCTTAGCAACCCAGCGGCTGCCCCCACCCCAGGCTGCCCCCACCCCAGACTCACAGACAGAGGTTCCTGGATCCTGTGGACAAAGGGTGGAGACAGAGCTTGCTCCCCGGCTTGAACAGCGCAATCCAGCCCCTCCCTTCGAATATTCCCCACCCAGACCAAGTCACTCAAAAAAAAAAAAAAAAGTCCTCTCTCTGCCCTCAAATCTCCCCTTCTCTCTGACCCCTGGTCTCCTCCTCTCTCACCTTCTGTCTCTCCCTCTTCTTTTTTTTTTAAAGATTTTATTTATTTATTTGACAGAGAGAGACACAGCGAGAGAGGGAACACAGGCAGGGGGAGTGGGAGAGGGAGAAGCAGGCTTCCCGCCGAGCAGGGAGCCCGATGCGGGGCTCGATGCGGGGCTCGATCCCAGGACCCTGGGATCATGA